CAGTGCTAAGCACTGGCCACAGGGAACAATTCATTTAACCACCAACAGCCTGTAGACCAGGCCCTATGCTAGCATCCTCCAGGTGGCCCCGCGGGAGCGCCACTCCTCCTGAAGCGCTGGAGGTGCACAGGGGTCTGGGCAGGAAGGAGTCCCTGTCCGCCATCACACAACGTGAGCTGTACCTGGGAGATTAAAACTGGTGGCTCATGGGCCAGATAGGACCCACAAGGTGGTTATAAAAAAGATTATTTTAAATCGGGAGACTTCCCTCTCTGTTTCGCTCCCTTAAGCAGGTCGTGGACCCTCACCTTTATCCTGCGCCTGCCTTGTCCTGCACTCTCTACCTCATTCACCTGGTCCCATGAGCATCTGCGCTTGAGACCCTGACAGCAACAGGTGGGTGGAGAAGACGCAGTTCAGTGCCAAGGAGCGTCCTCTGTCCCCTGAGATAATGCCCAACAGGCTGTTTTATGTTCTTTTTGGGGGGTGTATTTTGGACTCCCGACATGGCCAGGAAGTAGGCGGCGGCACTGGGGACTCCCTGCTGGGTACTCATCCTCACACGCAGCTCATTCCAGCCTCCCCGGGACTGCCACTTTCTGCTTTTCACAGCCAACGCTGGCGCCCGGGCCTGGGTTTACCCCTCCAGGCAGCCCTGCCCCCACGTCCCACTAGTCCCAGAGTCGCCTTTTACTTCTCTGGGGAGCCCTCTGGCTGGCTCCTCCATCCCATTCCTTCCCGGGAGGGGAAGAGACGGCTCCTGCGGTATTTATTGGGAGAGTCGGTTCTGTAGTTAAAAATCCAGAGGCAAGATCTAAAGCGAGATTAGAGAGAATGAAACAGACGGGGGGGGGGGGGGGGGGGGAGAAAGACAGAGACTAAAAGAATCAGGCAGAGAAAATGTAGCAGAAAGGAGACAGAGAAGAGAGAACAAAGAGAGAAACAGACGGAGGAGAAAGACAGAGATAGAATACGCGACGGAGGCGCGGGAGTGAAGAGCCCAGGAGCCGGGATGGGCAGGGGTGTAATCCAGCGGCTCAAAGAACAAACTCTGGGGCCAGACTGAGAATCTGGGCAGACAGAGGCAGCAGGTACGAAGTAGGTGTTTAAAATGGAAAACGTTTATAAAAAGGAGCGGAAATATGAGGGGGCCGTGGGCTAGGCCCGGGCCGGCGGCGTCGGTAGAGGGGCTGGGGGTGCAAGAGGCGTCCCCGCTTCCATCTGTCCGTCAGTCGTCCCTCTGCTCGGCTTCCGTGTGCGCACGCGCACCAGCGG